GGTCACTGGTGGCAGATCATCAAGTAGTACCTATAACAATGGCCAATTTCTCTAAATGTGAGCAGACACTTAAGGAAGGGGCATTGTTGGGTATGTACCAGGAGACAAGGTGTGGTTGTGTAATCCCAGGAAGACCAAAGGGAAGTCTCCTAAGTTATCTTCTCCATGGGAAGGCCCATATGACATAGTGGATCGTCTCTCAGACGTGACTTTCCGGATAAAATGTGGTCGGCGAGGTAAGCCAAAGATGGTGCATGCCTTGATGAAGTTACTACCACTGATGTGACTGTTAACAATGATAGGACGTTTCCTGATGAAGCAGATAAACCCCACATGAAGCAGAAGCCAACGAGACGGAGACCAGATACGTCCCGTAAAATTAAGAGACTAACAATACTTTAAAAAGTTTTCTCCTACGTTTTTTAATTGCAAAGTCTTTGATCAAGTCCTCAAAACTAATCTGGCGTAACAAATCTGCTTCTATACTTAGCAGAGACAAGGCATCCAGCCTGTCTTGTCGCATAGTTGTTCTGTTGGAATTTTTAATATGCTTCAACTGAGAAAATGAACGCTCAGCTGTGCAATTTGTGACCATTAACGTTAAAATATACGCAAGCCAATCTCTACATTTGGAAACGCAGACTCAATATTATCTTCTACAATTATTTTATAACGTTCAGCATGACTGAATCTGGTTTTTACAATTTTTGTTGCACTGAACTTATGGCACACATATGAGTGAAACTGCTGAAGCTCAGCAGAGAAAGTAGTGTTCAAGTCATCTGGGTAAGCATCAATTAGCTTTTGACAACACCGAGAGTACCTTTCAGTTTCAGTAGATGATGAAGTGACATTATTTGTTTGTTTGTTATGAATTTCGCGCAAAGCTACACGAGGGCTATTTGCGCTAGCCGTCCCTAATTTAGCAGTGTAAGACTAGAGGGAAGGCAGCTAGTCATCATCACCCACCGCCAACTCTTGGGCTACTCTTTTACCAACAAATAGTGGGATTGATCGTAACATTATAACGCCCCCGCGGCTGAAAGGGCGAGCATGTTTGATGTGACAGGGATTCGAACCCGCGACCCGCAGATTGCGAGTCGAGCATCCTACCCACCTGGCCATATCGGGCCTGTGACATTATTTGGCTCATCACTTAGACAAAAAAATATGTCCGCTATTTCTTTTTACACCTCTCCTTCAAGTTTCTAGTTTGTCAACAATTGTGTAAAAAAGTGGCATTCAGACTTACTTCTGGTGCATCTCCGTCATTGGGTACCTTCTTTCTGATACGTTTGCGAGTTTGAGCTGCATTGTAATCTACAATTACAATGTATTTCCTTTGCAATTGCTTCAAAAATTTCAAAGTCATCTCTTAAAGTGCGCTGTTCGTCAGCTAATGACCCATACAGATCTGCGCATGTTTTTAGGTTCACATCCATCCTCAGTTTGCAGAATTTGACTTTCTCTATGAAACTTTTGCAAAATCTCATCCCAAAGGATCAACATAAAAACAAATTCTAGCTCTCGCATCTTATTTACTGTATTGTCT